CAAATTATCATAAGCTGAAAAAACAAATCTTCCCAAGAGGAATGTTCTGTAAATAGACCTACCCCCAGCCCTCCCCGGCCCTCCCCAGCCCTCCCCCCGCCCTCCCCCAGGCCACCCCCAGCCTTCCCCCAGCCCTCCCCCAGCCCTCCTCCGCTCTCCCCCCGCCCTCCCCCAGCCCTCCCCCAGTCCTCCCCCAGCCCTCCCTCAGCCCTCCCCGAGCCCTCCCCAGGCTGCCCCCAGCCCTCCCCAGCCCTCCCTCAGCCCTCCCTCAGCCCTCCCCCATGCTGTCCCCAGCCCTCCCTCAGCCTTCCCCGAGCCCCCTCCCCCATGCTGTCCCCAGCCCTCCCCCAGCCCTCCCTCAGCCCTCCCCGAGCCCTCCCCCAGGCTGCCCCCAGCCCTCCCCGAGCCCTCCCCCAGGCTGTCCCCAGCCCTCCCCCAGCCCTCCTCCGCTCTCCCCTGCCCTCCCCCAGCCCTCCTCCCCAGCCCTCCCCCAGCCCTCCTCCAGCCCTCTTCCAGCCCTCCCCCTGCTCTCCCCCAGGCCACCCCCAGCCTTCCCCAGCCCTCCCCCAGGCTGCCCCCAGCCCTCCCCGAGCCCTCCCCGAGCCCTCCCCCAGGCCTCCCCCAGGCTGCCCCCAGCCCTCCCTCAGCCCTCCCCCATGCTGTCCCCAGCCCTCCCTCAGCCCTCCCCGAGCCCCCTCCCCCAGGCTGCCCCCAGCCCTCCCCCAGCCCTCCCCCGCCCTCCCCAGGCCGCCCCTGGGCCTGGCCCTGCCCTGGCTGCTGTGGGGGACATTTGGAGAGGGGATCAAGAGACCAGAGCAAGGTCTCACCCTCTCTAGTGTACAAATAAATACAAAGTTAAACAATGAAACCAACCAGCCAGATCCCAGGGAAATGGGAAGAGACCAGGCTGTGCAGAAAGAGATGGGATTCTCTGGCTTTTTTTTCTTTCTTTTTTGGGCGGAAGTGGGGCAGGTATGAGCTCCATGGCCAAGTATGCTGATCCCTGTCCCACTTCCTGCCACGCACACAGATTAGGGAGTGTCTGAGGGGCACCAGGTCCTGGCTGGGCGCCCAGGATGAGTGGAGCATGTTGGCCACCAGGGGCGTCACGGAAGTGTCCACTCAGCTGCCCCACAGCCAGGCTCAGCCACGGTGTGCACATCCAAACAGCTGTCACCCTGTAAACTGCGTGCGTGCTCTACATCGCAGCTTCACCTTCAAAGCCGGGGGACCACGTGGCTTTGCCGGACACACGCCCCGGGTCTTGGGCTGTGACGCCAACGTGGTGAAGCTGGGCTCACCTTCTGCTCTGCGAGGCTGCACAGGTTCCCCGCCAGGGCTGCTCGCGGGGGGCTGCTCGCGGTGGGGAGGGCTGCTCGCGGGGGGCTGCTAGCGGTGGGGAGGGCTGCTCGCGGGGGGCTGCTCCCCCGGGGCCGGCTAGGCTGCCGTGCACTGTGCAGGATAGGTTCGAGTCTCAGTGAAGCTTCAGACAGCGCCCACAGGACGGGACATGGGGCCAGTGTGGGCCAGAGTCACATGTACTGGAGTCGCCTGGTGCTGGGGCTGGGTTTCAGCCTGGCAGGAGGACACAGGGGAAGCTCGGGGGCCCCTGGCACCAGGGGTGGTGAGGCCCGGCTGCCCCCTCCTGATCTGGTACTCAGATCCCAAGCACTCCCTCTGAACTCAAGGGATAGAGAGTGTGTGCCTGCACATGGCTGACTGTGGTGTGTGTATGTGTAACACTGCAGGATGTGCGTGGCATGTGGTGTGTACATGTGTCGTTGATGTGTGTGACACTGTGGCATGTGTGTGTACATGTGTCGTTGATGTGTGTGACACTGTGGCATGTGTGTACATGTGTCATTGATGTGTGTGACACTGTGGCATGCGTGTGTACATGTGTCGTTGATGTGTGTGACACTGTGGCATGTGTGTGTACATGTGTCATTGATGTGTGTGACACTGTGGCATGTGGTGTGTACATGTGTCGTTGATGTGTGTGACACTAGCATGTGTGTACCTGTGTCGTTGATGTGTGTGACACTGTGGCATGTGTGTGTACATGTGTCATTGATGTGTGTGACACTGTGGCATGTGTGTACATCTGTCATTGATGTGTGTGACACTGTGGCATGTGGTGTGTACCTGTGTCGTTGATGTGTGTGACACTAGCATGTGTGTACATGTGTCGTTGATGTGTGTGACACTGTGGCATGTGTGTGTACATGTGTCGTTGATGTGTGTGACACTGTGGCATGTGTGTGTACATGTGTCATTGATGTGTGTGACACTGTGGCATGTGTGTGTACATGTGTCGTTGATGTGTGTGACACTGTGGCATGTGTGTACATGTGTCGTTGATGTGTGTGACACTGTGGCATGTGTGTACATGTGTCGTTGATGTGTGTGACACTGTGGCATGTGTGTGTACATGTGTCATTGATGTGTGTGACACTGTGGCATGTGTGTACATGTGTCGTTGATGTGTGTGACACTGTGGCATGTGGTGTGTACATGTGTCGTTGATGTGTGTGACACTGTGGCATGCGTGTGTACATGTGTCGTTGATGTGTGTGACACTGTGGCATGTGTGTGTACCTGTGTCGTTGATGTGTGTGACACTGTGGCATGTGTGTACATGTGTCGTTGATGTGTGTGACACTGTGGCATGTGTGTGTACCTGTGTCGTTGATGTGTGTGACACTGTGGCATGCGTGTGTACATGTGTCATTGATGTGTGTGACACTGTGGCATGCGTGTGTACATGTGTCGTTGATGTGTGTGACACTGTGGCATATGGTGTGTACATGTGTCATTGATGTGTGTGACACTGTGGCATGTGTGTACATGTGTCATTGATGTGTGTGACACTGTGGCATGTGGTGTGTACATGTGTTGTTGATGTTGTGACACTGTGGCATGTGGTGTGTACCTGTGTCGTTGATGTGTGTGACACTGTGGCATGTGGTGTGTACATGTGTCGTTGATGTGTGTGACACTGTGGCATGTGTGTACATGTGTCGTTGATGTGTGTGACACTGTGGCATGTGTGTACATGTGTCATTGATGTGTGTGACACTGTGGCATGTGTGTACCTGTGTCGTTGATGTGTGTGACACTGTGGCATGCGTGTGTACATGTGTTGTTGATGTGTGTGACACTGTGGCATGCATGTGTACCTGTGTCGTTGACGTGTGTGACACTGTGGCATGTGGTGTGTACATGTGTCGTTGATGTGTGTGACACTGTGGCATGTGTGTACATGTGTCGTTGATGTGTGTGACACTGTGGCATGTGTGTGTACATGTGTCATTGATGTGTGTGACACTGTGGCATGTGTGTACATGTGTCGTTGATGTGTGTGACACTGTGGCATGTGTGTACATGTGTCGTTGATGTGTGTGACACTGTGGCATGTGTGTACCTGTGTCGTTGATGTGTGTGACACTGTGGCATGTGTGTACATGTGTCGTTGATGTGTGTGACACTGTGGCATGTGTGTACATGTGTCGTTGATGTGTGTGACACTGTGGCATGTGTGTGTACATGTGTCATTGATGTGTGTGACACTGTGGCATGCGTGTGTACATGTGTCGTTGATGTGTGTGACACTGTGGCATGTGTGTACATGTGTCATTGATGTGTGTGACACTGTGGCATGCGTGTGTATATGTGTCGTTGATATGTATGACACTGTGGCATGTGTGTACATGTGTCGTTGATGTGTGTGACACTGTGGCATGTGTGTGTACCTGTGTCGTTGATGTGTGTGACACTGTGGCATGTGTGTACATGTGTCGTTGATGTGTGTGACACTGTGGCATGTGTGTACATGTGTCGTTGATGTGTGTGACACTGTGGCATGTGTGTACCTGTGTCGTTGATGTGTGTGACACTGTGGCATGCGTGTGTACATGTGTTGTTGATGTGTGTGACACTGTGGCATGCGTGTGTACCTGTGTCGTTGACGTGTGTGACACTGTGGCATGTGGTGTGTACATGTGTCGTTGATGTGTGTGACACTGTGGCATGTGTGTACATGTGTCGTTGATGTGTGTGACACTGTGGCATGTGTGTGTACATGTGTCGTTGATGTGTGTGACACTGTGGCATGTGTGTACATGTGTCGTTGATGTGTGTGACACTGTGGCATGTGTGTACATGTGTCGTTGATGTGTGTGACACTGTGGCATGTGTGTACCTGTGTCGTTGATGTGTGTGACACTGTGGCATGTGTGTACCTGTGTCGTTGATGTGTGTGACACTGTGGCATGTGTGTACATGTGTCGTTGATGTGTGTGACACTGTGGCATGTGTGTGTACATGTGTCATTGATGTGTGTGACACTGTGGCATGCGTGTGTACATGTGTCGTTGATGTGTGTGACACTGTGGCATGTGTGTGTACATGTGTCGTTGATGTGTGTGACACTAGCATGTGTGTACCTGTGTCGTTGATGTGTGTGACACTGTGGCATGTGTGTACATGTGTCGTTGATGTGTGTGACACTGTGGCATGTGTGTACATGTGTCGTTGATGTGTGTGACACTGTGGCATGTGTGTGTACATGTGTCGTTGATGTGTGTGACACTGTGGCATGTGTGTACATGTGTCTCATGACTGTGTGACACTGGAATGTGCACATGCATGTGGGTGGCATATAGTGTGTGCATGTCACTATGGTGTGTGTGTGAGACTGCAGGAGGGCTGGGGGGCTCGGGAACGGAGTCTGGTGAGGGTGGCTTTAATTTTGGGTGGGCTGTCGGGTTGTGAGTGCCTGGCTGGGCAGGTGCAGGCTGGCTCCCACAGCTGCCCTCCTGTACCGACGGAAGCTGGGGGACATTGCTTTGTCTGTCTTCTCTCCGACCCTCGGCCTGGAGCGTTCGCCCCAGAGATCAGAGTGCAGGTTCTTGGCACCTGCCGCCAAACCCTGGAGCTTGGGCAGTGTGGTGGGCGGCGTGGGCTCTGGCTCTGGCAGGACCTTGTGCTGTCCCCCGCAGGCTGGGGCTACGCGATGGCCACACACTCACACTTACACAGCTGGCGGGTGTTCATCATTGTCTGTGTGCTGCCCTGCGCCCTGTCCCTGGTGGCCCTGCAGTTGATGCCGGAGAGCCCCCGCTTCCTGCTCGGGGTGAGTCGGCGGGGAGCCCTCCCGGGCTAAGGCTGGGGGTGGGGACCGGAGCTGTGTCCGGGGGCCTGCTTTCAGAGGCCTCCAGGGTCGTGGGCTCTGTTTCTGCATTGGGACTGATCCATGACACTGTGCCCAGCATCCAGAAAGCCTCTGCAGCTGGGAGAGGAGTCCTGGCGCTCCGACTGTAGTGGGCTCCCAGGTCCAGGGATGGTGCCAGGCAGTGTGGCTGAAGACAGGGACTGTGTGCTCATGCCTGCCTCTCCAGGGGTCTCCTGCACAGTACTAGCCACGGGACCCAAGCATGTGACCCTCACAGCCCTGGGGCCCCAACTGTGTGTGCCCAGCTGAGACTCAGACACGGAGGAGCCCTGCCTGCTGTCCTCGGTCCCTGTTGGCAGCAGCAAGGCTGCCCTCCTCGTCCCTGTGTTCATGGATGCACTGGGTGGTCTCACGCCTTTCTCCTTGTTGTTACCAGATGGGCAAACACGACGAAGCCTGGATGATCCTCAAGCGAGTCCATGACACCAACATGAGGGCCAAGGGTACCCCGGAGAAGGTGTTCACGGTGAGTGTGGGGCAGCCTGCCGTTGCCTCGGGATGGCCGGAGCGTGGGATTTCTCAGGCTTCTGTAGGCAGGACATCCACCCCTGTTCCGGGGCCTTCTGTGGGGAGCTCATTGTTAAGAACATGTTCTCATGGTGGCACCTGGGATGTCCGTGTGCACTGGGACCCTGCGTGTGGCATCTCCCCGCTGTCCACGGTGCATGTCCCGTCATGCTGGTGACAGCAACACTGGTACGGACGGCGTCTCCTGACCGAGCTGCCGAGGCAGCAGCTCAGGCCCTGTCTGTGGCCTTGCTCCCATGGAGGTCATCACAGTGAGCCTTCTTGTGTCCACGGCTCTTGGGCCCACGATTCCTCGGGGGCACTGGCCCAGTTGTGTGGGCTCGGTCCTGGGTCTTGAGCTGTTTCGCTGGATCACATTCCAACTGGGCTGTGTTAGCCCCTGGGGACTCGGCTGCTCACCAACGCTGGGCATTTCCATGACGTCCTCTTCATCAGACAGAGGCTGTTTTCCCGCTGTGACCAGCCACGGGAAGCCCTGCCCAAGGTGGATCTGTGTGCTGCCTCCTGCGTTCCTTTAGGCTGTCTTTGGATTTGCCTTCTCCGGGAAATCTTCCCCATGAACTCTCAGCTGCCGCCCGTCACTGCTTCTGCTCTATTGGCACCACGATTTCAAGTCCTGGGTGAAACATGTGCTCGCTTCCAGCTCATTGCTTGCACCCCTGTGTCATGGACAGGGCCATGTGGTGGACGTGTATACCGGGGGCCGGTCTGGGCCCAGATCCTGGCCTGAGTCTCTTCAGCGCTCTGGCTGTGGACAGTGTGTTGTCACGGTCAGATGCTGACGGGGCAGGTACTGTAAGCGTTAGAGAAAGTGCCGGAGCGTGCTGACCACACAGGGCTGTTGGTGCAGTGCTATCCCTGCTCCTAGACACTCTGGGGGTAAGAATGCCTTGGCCTGGGGAGAAGGAAGGGGCTGGTTGGTTCGTGTTGCAGCCAGTGGCGTATCTGAGCTGTGTTTGTAGAGCTCACGCGCTCTAACAGACCATCAGCCACCCGCGATTGGCTTGCTTCGTTTCCTTTGGAGTCTGAGCTGGGCTTGCTTTGCTGGCAGGAGGATGGGGCGATGTGCCAAGAGCCGGGCAGGCCTGCTGGCCTCCCATGTCACAGCTCCACAAGGGCAGGTGGCCTCGGAGTGGGCAATGAACTCAGCATGGAAGCCGGCACCAAGTCAGGCTTTCTGCCTGTAGGACCAGCTGCCAGGCACATGCCAAGGAGGCAAGGGTGGGAGTGTGCCTTTTCTCACCACCTCTGTTAGTTCTCACAGGCCAGGAAAGGGGACTGGAAGCCTTACAGAGCCCAGGAGGGGGGTGGGGTTGTGTGGTGGTTAGAATGCTGCTGGGGAGCAGGGATGCCTGGACCCCCTGAGGGCAGGCGTTCCCAGATGGGACCCCCCTATTGATCCCCCTTCCTGCTCCTGTGCTCCTGGAAGCAGCAGCAGGCGAGGGCTCAGGTACGTGGGACCCTGCCGCCCACGAGGGGGACCTGCAGGGCGTCCCTGCTCCTGTGCTGACCAGGCTGTGGTGGGCATTTGGGGTGTGAAGCAGTAGAAGGATCCGCTCCATCCACGCATCCCTGTGCTGTGGGCTTGGTGATCCCACAGGTCGGGGGCCATGGGTCCCTGTAGAGGGCGCAGTGCCTGCACTGCACAGCTTGGGGAATGCCTCGTGCTTGTCTCTGTCACAGCCCTGGGCTCTGCAGGATGGGCCAGGGCCAGTGGGCTCTCCATGTTCATGGCTGTGGCTGCTGCCTCCCTGCCCGCTGTGGCCACGGAGCCAGGGTCTTCAGGCTCCACTCACAACCCCAGCAGGGACACCTTTGGAGAGGGCAGGACAACGCCTGGGTAGGACCTGGGGACCTGTGTTTTTTGGGGCTAACTTGGACAGTCGGAAACAAATGGGCTAATGAGCTGTCAGTCATGGGGCTGAAGCTGTGAGCACGCACGCACACACACACATGCACTCACCGACCTGCAGGGTGTCACTCCTAGGGCACGTGCCAGGACCAAGGTGTATGAGCAGGGCTGCCATCGGACTTGGGCTGTCCAGGAGCCCCCTGGTGGGCACCGTGCCCAAGGCCTGCTTCAGCCACGGCTTAGGTTCATGCTGTCGGCGGGTGTGGGCATCTGTGGGTGGTGTTCTGTGTGTGTCTGTGTGTGTTGGTCTGTGTGTCTGTGTTTGTTGGGATTCTGTGTGTCTGTGTGTGGTGGCCTGTGTGTTCTGTGTGTCTGTGGGTGTTCTGTGTGTCTGTGTGTCTGTGGGTGTTGTTACAGGTGTCTGTGGGTGTTGTTCCAGGTGTCTGTGGGTGTGGTTCCGTGTGCCTGTGGGTGTGGTTCCGTGTGTCTGTGAGTGTGGTTCCGTGTGCCTGTGGGTATGGTTCCGTGTGTCTGTGGGTGTTGTTCCAGGTGTCTGTGGGTGTGGTTCCGGGTGTCTGTGGGTGTTCTGTGTGTCTGTGGGTGTTGTTCTGGGTGCCTGTGGGTGTTGTTCCGGGTGTCTGTGGTTGTGGTTCCGGGTGTCTGTGGGTGTTGTTCTGTGTGTCTGTGGGTGTGGTTCCGGGTGTCTGAGGGTGTTGTTCCGGGCGTCTGTGGGTGTTGTTCCAGGTGTCTGTGGGTTTTGTTCTGTGTGTCTGTGGGTGTTGTTCCGGGTGTCTGTGGGTGTTGTTCTGGGTGTCTGTGGGTGTTGTTCCGTGTGTCTGAGGGTGTTGTTCTGGGTGTCTGAGGGTGTTGTTCTGGGTGTCTGTGGGTGTTGTTCTGGGTGTCTGTGGGTGTTCTGTGTGTCTGTGGGTGTGGTTCTGGGTGTCTGTGGGTGTTGTTCCGGGTGTCTGTGGGTGTTGTTCCAGGTGTCTGTGGGTTTTGTTCTGTGTGTCTATGGGTGTGGTTCCGGGTGTCTGTGGGTGTTGTTCCGGGTGTCTGTGGGTGTTGTTCTGGGTGTCTGTGGGTGTTGTTCCGTGTGTCTGAGGGTGTTGTTCCGGGTGTCTGTGGGTGTTGTTCCAGGTGTCTGTGGGTGTGGTTCTGTGTGTCTGTGTGTGGCGTTCTCTGTGCCTGTGGGTGGTGACCTGTGCTGTCTGCCGAGCCACAGCCCTGATGACTGGAGGAGCGGCCCTGCTCATGCGCGGATGGATACCTTCAGCACTGTGGCCTGGAAGCCTGTGCCCCCACAGACTCTTCCAGCTGCTCAGCCTCCCTCACTCGCAGGCCCTCTGGGGAAGCTTCTTCCGGGGTCCCAGTCTGCGGCGGTTTCTCCCTGCACCTCCTTGCAGCCTTAGGGCCTTGTTGACATGTTTATGGCTAACTTTTATCCGCCTTGCAGACTTGGCAGAGAAGGCAGTAGGGACGTTTCCAGTTTCTGTTTGTTCTTCCCTCCATCCCGCGGTGTTGGGGAGAGAGAGCATTTGGGACGCTGGCCTTGGAGGTGTGGCCGGGACCTCCCTGGGCCCGGGTCCCCTTTGTTTTTCTCTCTCCAGCCGCATTCCGCAGGCCAGAGACTCTCAGCATTGTCCCTCTTACCCAGGAACCCCAGTGCTTGCTGTCCTCCGGGGAAGTCGTGAAGATGAGGGGGCTGCGATTCCCTCTGCAGGTGCCCTGTGTGGCGCCCCTTGCTCTGCAGGCGCCCTGTGCGGCGCCCCTTGCTCTGCAGGTGCCCTGTGTGACACCCCTTGCTCTGCAGGCTTCCATGGGTGGACAGCCGTGGAGGAGAGGGCAGGAGCTCGGGGTGGCATCCGCTCTGCAGGCAGATCAGCTGTGCTGGGAATTTAGCGCCACATGGGACTCGCTGGTGAAACTTCCCTCAGTGAAGGCACTCCAGGCCAGCCTGCCCTCAGGCCCGCCGGGACCAGGCCACACACTGTGTCCCGTGGGTGCACGCCCGCCGGGACCGGGCCACACACTACGTCCCGCAGGTGCACGCCTGAGCGGTTTGTGGGAATGCACAGCAGACTGTGCCGGGAAGCAAGTAACGATCGCTCGTCTCCCTCCGCGTTTCAGGTCTCCAATATCAAGACTCCCAAGCAGGTGGACGAGTTTATTGAGATCCAGAGTGCAACAGGGACCTGGTATCAGCGCTGGCTGGTCAGGTTCAAGACCACGTTCAAGCAGGTGTGCGAGGGTGGGGTGTGTGGGGTGGCTGTGGGTCTCCAGTGGACCTTGAGTGCCCTGTCACCCCACGGTGACATCTGTCACACTCCCTGTGCCCCCGGTGGGGGGGTTAGAATGTGGAGAAACAGCGGCTTGGAGCCCGAGTCTTCCCAGCGCTCTAGTGCTGCACGGGGGGAGGGTGGGGAGAGGCCAGTGGCCACGGGGCCCCCTGGGCCAGGGATGACTGAGAAGTGGGTGCCGTGGGGTTGGGAGGTGTGTGAGGCGAGCCCTGCTTATGGTGAGGAGCAGAGCTCGCTGCCCCAGTGGTGCCTCAATTCGTGAGCTTCCATTTGCATTGTGGGCTCTCCCACTCCCTGGGAACGTGCCACAGGGCCGGGGCCGGGGCCGGCCTGCTGCTACCCAGAGGCCTCGGGTGGCCCGTCCACTCTGTGAGTCCCCAAGCAATTGGTCAGGAAGTCTGGGCACTCTCCTGAGCCACTCCCTGCCCCCGTTTCCCGTGCCCTCCCTTCTCTGGCACGGGCTGCAGGTCTGGGACAATGCCCTGTACTGCGTGATGGGACCCTACCGGACAAACACGCTGATCCTGGCTGTGGTCTGGCTCACCATGGCTCTCAGGTAAGCCCCCGCTGCCTGCTCCTGGCCTGGGGCCTCCCTGGCCCTGCACGAGCAGTGATGGTCACGACCAGATCCCGCGGGCAGTGCTCTCGGCTGCATGTGACAGCAGCTTGCTGCAGAGGTTTCTCCAAGAGCCGACTTGCTCTCCTTCTAAAGGCTCCACTGGACAAGCAGGGGCCGCAGGTGTCCAGCCTGCAGCCAGCTCTGGTGGTCATCAGGGTTGCGGCCCCGCTCTGGGGTCTGGACCAGGAAGAGCCCCAGTGCAGAACTGCTCCCCATCTTTAGGGCAGCTTCATGGACACAGAGCGTGTGCGCCATGGTGTGCAGCTCTGTGTCGGGAGTCGCAGCAAGGATCCAGCCCACACACACCATCCCTTCCTGGCTTCTGGTTCTGCGTGTGCATGTGTGCAAGGGGGGAGGTGCTCTGTGTGTGCATGTGTGGGTTGCACATGCTTGCATGTGTGTCATGGGTGTGTGTGCACACGTGTGTCTGCACACACAGCCAGACGCACATGTGTATGCGTGTGCTCGCGTGCATGTGTCAGGACAATGAGGACAGCACCTCATTGTCACTCTGGGCTGGCTCGCTGACTGACCGCACTGGGGCCTCAGCCCACTTTCCCTGCTGACCCATTAGCCGGAGCCCGCCCGGGCCTGTGGCGTAACACACCCTGGCCGGCTCGGGCTTCCTGGCGGCCGTAGCCTGATCTGCAGTCGGTCCCAGCCAGAGCCCAGTGCTTTGCTGGGTGTGCAGTGTTGGGCCTGACCGGCTGAGATCTGGGAGCTCAGTCCGTCTCCCACAGAGGTGCCGGGACATGAGCGGCTGGGCCGTCACCACAGCGGGAGCTGAGTCAGCAGCCGGGGCTGGGAAGCAAACCAGCTCCCGTATTGTGGCACACACCGTGGCCGCTGGCCTGGCAGCTGCCCTGGGTTCACACCCCCTTCTCTCACAGGTGCTTTGTGTTTAGTGTCCTGTCTTGTTTTCTGTCCCCCAAGGCTCTGGCGTTGGAGACGTGCGATTCCTTTGTGCCAAGGCTGAATCCTTCCCCACCTCCTGCTCTGTGTGTTTGAATCAGGGAGGAGTATTTTTCTTCTCCAGTGCCTTTGCGGCACCTGCGTTGATGGGAGCGTTTCATCTCGTCTCTGACAGCACACCGGCAGAGTCAGCCGGGGCCGGCAGAGTCAGCCGGGGCCGGCAGAGTCAGCCGGGGCCGCGCGGGTCCCGAGCGTAGGTGTGGCTCACGCGCGTTGGCGGGCTGCTGCTCAGGGCTCCGCCCTTTCTCTTGCAGCTACTACGGCCTGGTTGTCTGGTTCCCCGACATGATCCGCTACTTCCAAGATGAAGAGTACAAGTCCAAGATGAAGGTGTTCTTTGGTGAGCACGTGCATGGTGCCACGATCAACTTCACGATGGAAAACCAGATCCACCAGCATGGGAAGCTCGTGAATGACAAGTGAGTGGGGCTGGCCGGGGGGCAGTGCCACTTAACCCACCAAGCGTTCATGTGGGCTGTGGGGGACCCAGCCCCGACACACGGGGCACAGGACACAGGACACACGGGGCACAGGGCACAGGATGTTGGGGACCCAGCCCTGACAGATGGGATGTACAGGATGCTGGGGACCCAGCCCTGACAGATGGGACACATGGGGCACAGGGCACAGGACACATGGGGCACAGGGCACAGGACGTTTGGGACCCAGCCCTGACACACGGGATGCACAGGATGTTGGGGACCCAGCCCTGACACACAGGATGCACAGGATGTTGGGGACCCAGCCCTGACAGATGGGATGCATGGGACACAGGACTCGGGGAACCAGCCAACACACGAGAGGCAGAGGACATACCCCTGTGAGTGAGTGGCTGTGAGCTCCTAGGCTGCTGGCGTTCTCCGGGACTGGTGGCGTTCAGGCAGAGGCAGTCCTTCCCTGAGCCCTCCCAGTGCACCAGGGTGGTGTGCTGTGGGACGGCGAGGAGCCCGGTGGGTGACAGGTCACACAGGGCTGGGGGCTCCGCGTCCTCCACAGCCCAGCTGTTGTGTAGGTGCTGCATGTGAGGGGAGCAAAGAACCACCAGTGAAAACAGATGATGTGCCAGTTGCAGTCGCCGTGGCAGCTGTGTGGGAGCTACGTCAGGTGTCTTAAATTGTCCAGTTTAATCCTTCCAAAAACCCTAGGAGGCGGCCACCGCGGTCCAAGATGCACGGGTGTGCTGAGGCCTCCTGGGGGGTGTGCCTGTGGGCTCCGGGTGTGTAGAGGGCCTTGTGCGATTGTGCAAACACAGATGCCCTCCAAGCTTGCCATGAACTGTGAGTCTTGTTCTCTGTGTGGGTACCAAGAACTCCGCCACCGTCCCTGTGACCACACCACTACTGTTCCTGGAATTAAAGGAGTGTTTTCCCCTGGCAGGAATGGGGACCCTTGCCAACTGTAGAGAGCTGTGCTGCCACCTGCTGGTCGTGAGCTGGGAAATCCCGGGCTGTGTGGCTGGAGATGGCTGCATCCCAGGGCAGGGGCCTTTCCAGCTGTGTTGTTTTCACTCCTGCTGGCATGTTCTCAGGTTGTGACTCCACGCCTGCAGATCCTCCTTGGCTCCCTGTGGTTTCCTTAGGCGGTGTCTCGCACACGCAGACTGCGGGGAGCAGGATGGCGGCAGGTGCAGGGTGGCGGCTGCCAGCTTTAGCTCTGACCCAGCACAGTGCCCTGGGTCGCCTTCCCGGGGCAGCAGCCAGCACTGTCACGCCTGGGTTTTACGTGTCCCTCCCTCACTCCTTCAGGTCGCTCTGTCTGTCTGATGGGCGGTGGCTGCTCCTGCCTAGAGGTGAGGTTGCCGGAGGAAGAGGCAGCTCTCAGAAGGGGGTGCAGCGCCCTGGCTGACGGCAAGCTCGGCTTTTTGGTCAAGGTTAAGGCCTTCTACTTTCCTCCAAAGCAGGGTTGGTAGGACCTGAAGGTTTGGCATGGCCAGCCCGCCCCTGCGGCTCTGCGAGCAGTGCCAGTCCGTCTTTAAATGGAATTGCAGTTTTCCTGTCGACTGTTACTGAGGGTGACGTGCCCGGGGGCCGCCCATCTGTGCTATTGGTCTCGTTCTGCCAAAAGACTGTACCCTTTGGTCCTTCCTAGAGATTGCATGTTTTAGTAATCATTCAGAAGAACCAATCCTTCATTACGTTTATGCTCATTAATATTTTTTCCTTTAGGTTTACTTTGTTTATCAGGCTTCTTGATTTTAAGAATGGGAATGTTTTTAAGTGCATACACTGGCCTCCGCCTGCTGCTTTAGTTAGAACATGTAATTCTAAAAAAATTATTCATTTATTGGAAAGCGTTACAGAGAGAGGGACACACACGCACATACAGATCTTCCTCTTGCTAGTGCGGTCTCCAGATGGACACATGGTCCTGGCTTCGCTAGAGTGAAACCAGAAGCCAGGAGCCTCCTCCTGGTCTCCCAGACAGGTCCAAGGGCCCAAGGGCTTGAGCCATCTCCCACTATTTTCCCGGATACATCGGCAGGGTCCAGGACGGAACTTGGAGAAGCTGGCACTGGGCTTGGTGCTCACAAGGGATGCCGGGGTTGTAAGAGGCGCCCCAGCTGCTGCTCTGCCCCGCCTGCCCCGCCTGCCCCGCCACGTGGCTGTCAGGGCTGGGCAGTACACACGACCGTTTGCCGGAGCGCTTGCTCTGTAGCTCACAGGCATGTGTGGGTGAGTCGCAGGGAGCAGACACTGGTCCCTGGCATGCCCACACCCGACTCTGAAATGCCTGTTCAAGTTCTGACTACACCTGCTTCTGGCTCCAGTTGCCCGCCAATGCCGCCCTGTAAGACAGCGCTTGTTGTCACCTGTTTAGGGAACCTGGAGTCAGTTCTGGCTCCTGACTTTGGCCTCCTCCCCCGGCTGCCGCGAGCATTTGGCGTGTGACCCAGTGAACAGACATCTGTTCATCTTTCTGTCTCTGCTTCTCTGCCTTTTAAATAAACCAAAAAAAAAAAAAATCTTTTTGAAATGTTTAAAGGGATCACGGTGCCGCTGCCCAGGGATCAGCTTCACAGAGGTGTCTGTGCAGTGTGCAGATGTGGAGATGATATGGCTGGAATTTATTCTTAGGAATGCAAAGTTTCAGGGCTCCCCTAACCCTTTTAAAGCTCTATTGCTACACATATCCACATTCAGATATTTATTTAAGTTTAGCTATTTACTTAAAGGCAGAGAGTGAGTGAGCCCGTGTCTTCATTGGTTCTCTGCCCAAGTGCCCGCACCAGCCTGTGGTTAGATCAGGTGGCAATGGGCCCTGGGAGCTAACCCAAGACTTCACCTGAGTGACAGGGACCCAGCCACCTGGGTCTGCGATGGAAGGCAGGTGGAATCTGAGTGGAGCCAGGACTAGAACCCAGACTGTCTGGGAGGGTGTGCTGGCTGCTGCAGCATCTGTGCCCGCTGCCTGCCACACGCACGTGGCCATCACTGCCTTGTCCCAGCGGTGACAGAAGCTGTGGATGGTCCACGTTGTCTGTTTGCATCTGAATCTTGGCGTCCTTCTGGCTAGGGCTCACACGGTCTGCCTCTCATTCAGCCTGTGTATTTATGTTCCTGACACATTCTTGCTGGGGTCAGCCCCCACTCCCGGGGCCAGGCTGACTTTGCCTCTAAATGGACGTCTTCTGATGTTTACGCTTATAGAATTGTTAATATCGTTGGAGCAAAAATCTGCCATCCTGTAGTCTGCTTCCTGGGCATGCCATCTCCCGTGTCCTTCAAAAACCCTTTCTCTGCTCTTTTATCCTCATGATTTTCTAATCCCCTTTTGCCGTCATTGGTTTGTCTGCCACCCGTGCTGCAGGCCCTGCCCACTGCTCCGGATTTTGCTTTAGACACTGTTGCTTGGCAGTGCCTGCGAGTTGGTAAGCAGATAGCATGTGGTGCGGCAGTCGGCGGGCTGCCGGACGCCCGTCCTGGAGGGGCACCTTCCCGTTTGGAGGGGCACCTTCCCGTCCTGGAGGGGTGCCTTCCTGTCCTGGAGGGGCACCTTCCCGTTTGGAGGGGCACCTTCCTGTTTGGAGGGGCACCTTCCCGTTTGGAGGGGCACCTTCCCGTCCTGGAGGGGTGCCTTCCTGTCCTGGAGGGGCGCCTTCCCGTTTGGAGGGGCGCCTTCCCGTTTGGAGGGGCGCCTTCCCGTTTGGAGGGGCGCCTTCCCGTCCTGGAGGGGCTCCTTCCCGTCCTGGAGGGGTGCCTTCCTGTCCTGGAGGGGCACCTTCCCGTTTGGAGGGGCACCTTCCCGTTTGGAGGGGCACCTTCCCGTTTGGAGGGGCGCCTTCCCGTTTGGAGGGGCACCTTCCCGTTTGGAGGGGCGCCTTCCCAGCCCTGCGTCCTGCTGACGCGCACCTGCGAGGAAGCGGGTGGAGGCTCGGCTCTTTGGAGACATGACTTCCGCGCTCCTTACTTGGATGTGGCCCAGCCCTGTCTGGTCAGACACTTGAGGAGTGAGCCAGTGGAGGGGAGATTTCTGTCTCTGACTCTCAAATAAATTAAATGAAGAAATACTTGAAAGTGAGAGAGTAAGTATTTTATATATATTTACCTTTGGCATAACCAGTCCTGGAGTTCTCAATTTCGATCCCAGTTTCAAATATAATGAGATCTTCCATCATAGCAGTCATGTCTGGACCAGGCTGAAACCAGGAGCCTGGAGTTCTGTCCTGGTCTCCCGCGTGGATAGCGGAGCCCATGCACGAGAGCCATCCTCTGCTGCCTCCCAGTGCATTAGCAGGGAGCTGGATTAGAAGCAGAGCAATTTACCGTTGCCCGGGGTTCCCCCTGGACATGGTATGCTGCATGTCTGCAACCTCTCACATAGGCCAAGCAGACAGAGGGCCAGGGCCAGTGTCCCACACATTAGGTTGAGGTTATGGAGGCTGATACCACAAGCTTAGAGCACGGTGGTTGGATTGCAACTCTGAGATGTCAGGTGTAGCATTGTCCAGGGGACGCTGGGTCCCGGAGGAGGGGCCCCACCCTCGGGACCTGAGCCCAGCATTGTCCAGGGGACGCTGGGCACTGGCCATCTCCTGGGTCCCAGAGGAGGGGGGCCGTCCTCGGGACCTGAGCCCAGCATTGTCTAGGGGATGCTGGGCACTGGTCATCACCTGCGTCCCAGAGAAGAGGGGCTCTCAGGACCTGAACCCAGCATTGTCCAGGGGACGCTGGGCACTGGCCCATTATCTGGGTCCCAGAGGAGGGGGGCCGCCCTCAGGCCCTGAGCTGTCTCCAGCCGGGAAGTCCCACCTCATCCACCCTCGCCATCTGTTCACTCCACCTTCCTCTAGGGTGACTGGGGGGGGAGATAAGGACTCTGTCCCCCACTTTGTCCTCACAGCCCCTCAGCCTGACCCAGGGCGTTTTTGATCTAGATTCTTAAGTCAGGCTGACATGTAGCACCCTTTCCCCCCAGCCAGCACTACGGTTCCCTGACGCTGTGGTTGGGTGCTGCTGTGTGCCATCCACAGCCCCTGCTGAGCCCAGGTTCTGAGCCCTAGGTCCATCTTGGGAGCCACACATTTCCTTGCTGTCCCACTGCCTGCCCAGGATAGTCCCCCGTGGGCTTCTTGAGCAAGTCTCGGGTGACATGGAGGGTGTCTGTGCTGCCACCATTGTCCCGTGGTTGCCCAGTGCTGTGAGCCTGCGCTGCAGCATGCAAAGGTTATTAGCCACCTGGGTTCTTTCTTAAAAGATTTTATTTATTTTTATGTGAAGTCAAAGTTAGAGAAGAGGAGAGAGAGAGCTTCCATACAATGATTCACACCCCAAACGGCTGCAATGGCCAGAACTGAGCTGATCTGAAGCCAGGAGCCTGAAGCTTCTTCTGGGTGCCTCATGTGGGTACAGGGGCCAAGAACTTGGGCCATTTTTGGCTACTTTCGCAGGCCATTAGCAGGATACTGGATGGGAAGTGGAGTAGCCGGGACATGAACTCATGAACCGGTGCCCATGTGAGATGCCAGCACCACATTTGGAGGCTTAGCCTACTGTGCCATGGCACTGGCCCCTTGTGCAAGCTCCTCAAACTTGGCAGGCATTGGGTCAAGAGCTTAGGCAGGGTGGACCTAGATTAAGGCAGAGTGCAGGGGTTGGAGTGCTTTGGATCTGCTCTGTTCTTGCCTGGCCGTGGCCTGTGTGTGTGAGTGTGTGTGTGTGTGTGTAGGCCTGTGAGCTTTAGCTTCTCCTGCCATGATGGGTGGTGTGGCAAGCTGCCTGTGTCATAAGCAGGGTGGATCCCTGGAGGACGCGACCCCACCCCGAAGCTGCCCTGAGAGTTCCTCTATGGAAGTGCCTGCTTCCTGGTCTCTGACTTAGACCCTGGAAGGCTTGTGTGCCTCCCAGGACCAGCCTCGGCCCCCAGCCGTGGCCCCTGCGGGGAGCCAGCCCGTGTCCATGGGCTGATCCGGGGCAGCAGGCACTGAGCCTAGAGCTCCTGGGCCCACTGGATTGGAGCTGGGCATGGCTCCCAGCTGACCGGCTGTGGAACAGGGAGGCACCTCATGGCTCAGGGCCTCCCTTCCCACCCTCTCTGGGCCTGCATCTCGCCCACAGGTTCACAAAGATGCACTTTAAGCACGTGCTCTTTGAAGACACATTCTTCGACGAATGCTACTTTGAGGACGTCACGTCGACAGACACCTACTTCAAAAATTGTACCATTGAGTCCACCATCTTCTACAACACAGGTGAGGACTCGGACGAGCAGGTGGACCCACAGTGGGTGGGCAGCGCTGTTGGGGAACCAAGATGTACGGTATGGCCTCAGGAGCAGGGAGGGGCTCGTGGGGGCACATGCTGAGCCCTGAGGGGGAAGTGGTCCCAGCTGGTTGCACCACCTGGGTGCATGGCGTTTGCCCGGTGTTAGGTCGGCCCACATCTCAGCTATGTCTGTGGCTGGAGCAGAGGCTCTGGGCTGGGGTCCCTCGGGATTCAGGGGAAAGGGGCCAAGCAAGACACCAGGCTTCTGGGGGGCTGCATTTCCTGCACGCACAGACTCAGGAACCTGAACACGCCCCAACTCGGCCTTTCACAGTAATGAGAGGATAAAGTGCATCTGTTACCAAGTCCAGAGCTGAGGGTATGGGCGAATCACTGCCTCGAGTTTCCGTGATAAAACAGACAGCAGACCGTGAGGTTCCAGCACTGCTGTGCTCCGAGGCAGTGGCCACCAAGTGGAGTGTGGGAGATGAGGAGGGTGTGTGGGACCCCCTCCAGGATCCCCGTGCTCGTCTCACTGGAAGACTATGACGCGGGGAGCTGCACCTGCAAGCCCTCAGACCCACAGCTGGCTGGGGGCGGGGGGGAGCTGCACTGTCAGCCCGACTTCCCCCCGGGGCCTTGGCCTGTCATGGGCAGGGCTTGCACTCAGCAATGCCTTGGGGCTTGTCTTGATGTGTCTCTGAGCCTGAGCTTGCAGAAGCAGTCATTCCTGTAGGCCTGTCTTCCTTGAAGCTGTCAGGTTTGTCACTAGGCAGGCTGCGCATGGGGGCTGACCGGGAAGTGTCAGCCTGGGAGGGGGCATGGCACAGCCCGACCTGGGGGCTGACTGGGAAGTGTCAGCCTGGGAGGGGGCATGGCACAGCCCGACCTGCACTTCTAACCTGGGATGCAGAGGACGCACGTGGCCTGGCCCTGTGCCTGCTGGGCTGCCGCGTGCACTGTCTGCTCTCACCCCCCAGCCAGCTGGCACTGGCCGATGCCAGAGGACGAGCCACATGGTCCCTTCAGGTTCCTGTGACCCCAGCGTGGGTGTTGGAGCCACCTCCGGTCTGCTTCCCTGAGCGGTGCGGCCTCAGAGGTGTGGCCCTTGGTGCTGGACACGGGCAGGCCTACTGTACAGCAGCTCACAGATGACAGTGTCTGCCCTGCCTCACAGTTTTGGGAGGAGGCCAAGAAGCCATCTGCTGTTTTTTTTAAAACAGATTTGTTTATTTGAAAGAGAGTCGCAGAGAGGGAGTGAAGGAGGGAGGGATGGAGAGAGAGAAGTCGAGCTTCCGTCAGTGGGTTGCTCCCCAGCTGGGTGCAGCAGCCAGGACTGAGCCAGGCTGGAGCCAGGAGCCTGGGACTCCATCCGGGACTCCGTGTGGATGCAGGGCCCAAGCACTTGGGCTATGCTCTGCTGCTTTCCCAGGCGCATTAGCAGGGAGCTAGGCCGGAAGTGGGGCAGTTGGGGTTTGAATCTTTGCCGCTGGACACCTCTGCTGGAACCTGGATGGGTTGTGTTCTTGGAGGCTCCTCGTGCCCTCCAGCCCCAGCCATGTGGCACTGGGCTTTGGGCTGCTGAGTTTAAGGGCCCCTGGGCTCTCCCGGGTAGAGGCCCCGCTGGCCGGCTCCCCGCCGACCCCACCATCTCCTCTCCCCAGACCTGCATGAGCACAAGTTCATTAACTGCCGCTTCATCAACTCCACCTTCCTGGAGCAGAAGCAGGGCTGCCACCTGGACTTGGAGGAGGACAATGACTTCCTCGTCTACCTCGTCAGCTTCCTGGGCAGCCTGTCAGTGCTTCCTGGGAACATCGTCTCGGCCCTGCTCATGGACCGCGTTGGCAGGCTCAAGATGATTGGTGAGTGCCTGGCATGTGGTGTTCACAGCAAGCGTGGCTCCCTTGGGGTCCCAAGCATTGTGGGAGCAGCAGATGGGCCCAGGCAGGCGACCCTTCAGCTCTTACATAGGCCCGCCCACTGCTTCGCGGGCTAAGCGCCCATGTGTGCCCTGCTGCCCCAGAGTTACAGCAGACCATGTGGCCTGTGTGGCTGGTCCAGGGGCACGAGGTACATATGCCGAGAGCGGGCAGTGTCCGTTACAGTCTGGATCAAGGCTGTAAGGGTGGAGAGGCAGTCGCCGTATCAAGGAAAATGTGTCTGAGGATCTACCCGGGCTGAGGTTGGCCAGGGAAGTTACTGCCAGGCTTCCTGGCTGTGCAACTCCAGGGAGAACAAGATGGTCACTTCCTGCTTGGAGCAAGAAGCGGCTGCTGGTCAGGGCTCTGCGGGTTCGAGGGGAAAGGCTCCTAGCTCCCCACGCGTGGGCAGCAGGTGCAGGCGCTGAGAGCAGGTGGTGTGTCTGTACATGGAGCCGTGGGTACCATGATGGGAACTCATGGCAGGGCTGGGAGTGGGAGTGCTGTGCTGGGTCAGGGCACCCAGTTACTCCCACCCTAACCCTAACCCCAGACCCCATGCTGGGGTGGATGACCTCAGCGCTTGCTCAAGACAAACTGGCAGCCCATTCTGGGCTTCTTGAGCCAGGGACCCAGCTACGCCCTGTCTGGTTCTGAGCTACTCCCATCGGCCACCTGTGGGGGGTGGGAAGTGGCAGATATGGCGTGTTGTCACTGCCTCGCCCTTCCTGCACAGGCGGCTCCATGCTCCTCTCGGCCGTCTGCTGCTTCTTCCTGTTCTTTGGCAACAGTGAATCGGCCATGATCGGCTGGCAATGCCTGTTCTGTGGGACAAGCATCGCGGCCTGGAACGCACTGGACGTCCTCACTGTGGAGCTCTACCCCACCACCCAGAGGTCAGTGTCCACCTGGCCTCCCAGGGGCTCGGGGCCTCTATGCCTGCCTGTCACAGCCTGCCCTGGGGGCCTGTCTTCCCCATGTCTCAGAAGCCAGAGCCAGGCCCAGACCCGGCACTTGTTTCCATTGCTGGAAGAGAAAGTACATTGTGGGGTGAGCGGAGGAGTGGCCCCGTGGCCAGTGAGGAAGTGCCATGGTGTAGGGGGCGGGCCAGTGGACTTGTGCCCACAATGTGCTGGCGCCCACAGACTTGGCATTCATGTGGCAGAGCTGAAAGAAACAGGAACAGGAAACAGTGTTGGATCCTAAATGCATCAATAAGCCAAGTCGTGGTCAGAATCCACGCCAAGCCGCAGGTCCCGAAACATGCAAGAGTCTGTTAGCATGGCGCGGCACGCTGAGAGCCGCCGAGCCTGGCAGGGCATGTGGGCCAACCACGGGTCAGATAAGAGAGGTGCCGAACTTGAAGCTCCTGTTCAGAATCCGTGCGAGCGTCTCCTGTTGGGAGCTTGAGGTTGGCTAGGAAAAGTCACACATGAGCTCAACCTCAGAGATGCCGGAGCAGAGGCTTGCAGAGGCAGACACTGGGCACAAAGGGGGTGCCAAGTCTAAAACACACCTGGCCATGGGGGGAGATGGCCCACCATGGCTATCCCTGGTCATGGGGGGAGATGGCCCACCATGGCTGTCCCTGGTCATGGAGGGAGATGGCCCACCATGGCTGTCCCTGGTCATGGGGGGAGATGGCCCACCATGGCTGTCCCTGGTCATGGGGGGAGATGGCCCACCATGGCTGTCCCTAGTCATGGAGAAAGGGCCCACCATGGCTGTCCCTGGTCATGGGGGGAGATGGCCCATCAAACGGTGAGGGACAGGATCAGCAGCGGTTTCCCCTGGACACGACAGAGACCCCTGTTACCTGTTGCCCCCAGGATGATGACTTGTCTTGGTTCTCTCCCGTGTGTGCACACAGCGGGAAGTGCAGGCGTCCTCTCTCTCACAGAGACTTGCCCAGAAGCCCAGGGGAAAGGTGGGGGTTGAGTAAACAGCAGGGACCTGCCCAGGAGCTCTCTGAATCAGCTGCCTCCTCCGCTGTTGCTACTTGGCCCACAGGGTGCCTGGGAGCCCGAGAAGGCTGTTGGGGGCAGTGAGCCCAGGTGTCGCTATGGAATGCGGACACCTGCTCTGTCTGCTTCTGTACCTCTCGGTGAGCAGGTCTTACTGTTGGCCTTTTGTGGAAGGCCCCAGACAGCACTGTAGGGTGTGTGAGATGGCCACTTCTCCCTGGGCACAAGTCTGTGTGCCCAGGGCTGCTTTGTCCGAGTGCCAGACTGTGGCCTTTCACAAGGACGCCAGCCCCTCGTCTGCTGGCACTGCGCCAAGCAACCCATGCCCTCTGCTCTTCCTTGCAGGGCCACAGCCTTTGGCATCCTCAACGGATTATGCAAGTTCGGCGCCATCCTGGGAAACACCATCTTTGCCTCTTTTGTGGGGATCACCAAGGTGGTCCCCATCCTCCTGGCTGCTGCCTCGCTGGTTGGCGGGGGCTTGATTGCTCTGCGGCTGCCAGAGACTCGAGAGCAGGTCCTGATGTGACCGCCCCGGGGAGCGAGAGGCCGACAGCGGCTTGGTGCGGTGGCACTTCCTGCCTGTCCCACTCTGGCAGTGACCCCGGTGGCAGGAGGACAGGCTCATTTCATGACTTCTCCAGTTGTTTGTGGTGTTGGCAGCTCAGGTGACTGATGTAGAAGTATCCTGCCCTGCGCTGTGTGTGGCTGTGTGCTCCCCAGCCAGGGCAGGTGGAAGAGCAGGTGGTGAGCTTGCACACACACGTGCGCGCGGGCACACACACACAGGTATTTTTGCACTTTTGCAGTTTCCATTTAAAAATTGGCATCCTGGCATTGAAGATGTCCTGATACAGAGTGCTGGATATAGCAGCAATATCCACAGAGCTGAACTCTCCCTGCCGGTACCCCAGGCTTTCCATGGCGATGAGGGGGTACACTGAGGATCCTGCTTGCCGTCCCCCCAGCCCCCTGGCTTGTGCGCCGTTCACAGGGACTCAATGGGCTTGCGGCTCTGTAGTCCCAGTCTGTATATACTTGGACTGAAGTTCCGCAAATGGCGTCTGCAAACAGAGGCGGCGTCTGAGCCATATTTGGGCAGAATGTGGTGTCCGAGGCCCCAGACACTGGGGATGGCCAGGGGCCACACCAGCCACTCTCTCAAAGCCATCAGACTTGCTGTGGGCACTGCCCACAGCACGCTCGCCTGTGCACACTTAGCCAGGCACTCTGGTGCGGCGAGCTATCACTTTCTATCTCACGTGGATCGTGTGGGAAACACCAGCTCATCCCTTGTCCTGGCGTCTGGCTTTGCTGTTCTCTCTGTCCACGGGAGCAGCTGGGTGGCCTCTGACCCTCTGGGCCAAGGGTGTGGGGAGCACAGCCACAGTGGCCAATGTCAGCTCTTGGGTTTTTGGCGCAAGGTGCCATCCACGCCTGGTAGATGGTGAAGTTGTAAGAGATGTTTGTGCTGTGTCCCGGCTCGGGCCTTTCGGGATCCAGGCCGTTGGCAAGGAGTTGGGGCACATGGCAGGGGTCATCTGTGGTTTCCCATCCCTAAGGCCCAGTGTGAGTGTGCACGGGCAGGCGTGGCTGCCCTGGCCAGCTTCGGTGGTGGGCTCAAGTGGGACTGTGGGGGCAGGAGCTGTCCCCATACAGAACAGACGGTGCTGCTCCTGGAGGGAAGCAGGCAGCGGCCTGTGAGAGCTCAGGCATGAGCCAGCCCTGCGGCTAGGGCACTCCCCCGACCAGGACCCTCCACTGTGCCCGGCGTTCTTGCGCAGTTGGACAGGCCCTGCTTTTGGCTGATCCAAGGCCATGTTGCCCCACCTTCTTCCCACCCGCCCCCTGAGGCCTGCCTGCACTAAGGGTCAGATGCTGTTCTTCCATGTCTCTGCTCTGGCCCTTCTCTTTGCCACCTCTTGCCCTTCTCCCCATTCCAGAAAGGAAGATGCATTAGTCCAGCTCAACCTGAGTCTCCTGAGGGGGTGCCCGCATCTGTGTTGCTGCAGTTACCCAGTGCGGTACGAGCCGGGGGGTGCAGCCGTCACATATGAACTGGGAGTGGTGCCTGGTGCTGCTCTCTGTGGGCACAGAGCCCACTGGGCAGCTGCCATGCATGAAAGCCACGCGCCACGCGAGGCTGCTGTCCGCTTGCTATCCTGCTTGTGCACTCAGTCCCGATGGCTTCAGGGAGCCAGCCGTCCTGAGTGTCGTGCTGTGTGCTGCCCTTGCGGCTCCTGCAGCCTCCGGCCTGAGCAGCCCTGAGCGGTGCCCACCCGTTCACCACGCAGGCCCACCCAGAGTGCCGTCCTGCTCTGCCGCCTTCCGCCTTCAGCAGGGACTGAACTCACCCTCCTGCTAAGGTTGGTCCCCACGCAGGTGATGGGAGGGACGGGGTGATGTTTGGTGTCTCTGGTGGCCTGTTGCTCTTCCATTTGCTGTTTGCCATCAAGAGGCTCAGTTGGTGTCAGGGAGCGGGCAGCAGGCGAGTGCCCCACTGGGCAGAAGGGTCTAGTTCATGACAGGTGAGCCTGGTGCGGGAGTTAATACCTTCATAGTCTGTCCCCTGCTGACACCACGTTCTGGTTTTTGATTTATTAAAAGTGACTAGCGACAGGCGTGCCCACTTGTGACATTTCCAGCACATTAGCCTGAGGTTGTGTAAGCTATAACCCCGTTCCCCGGACTCCCCAGCTCTCTTGTTCTCGAGGAATCACAATAAAGCTCCCTCTTGGCAAACCCGAGGGCCTGAGCTTGGAGACTGTGTGTGGGCACTGGGGTCTCCTCTGTGTTTCTGAACGCAACTGCCTGGTAAGACTGGCATGCGTCATTTCTCTTGACGTCTGGTTTGCTATCAGAGGTCAAAAGGCAGGACAGAGGCTTGATGGTTCTGAGGCCTTTGAGGGCACTTGTGCAGGATTCTGGGGCTCCATCACTGACTGCCCCTTGCTGTGCAGAACTCTCCCTTGGGTCCTTGGAGAATGGGCAGAGGGACCAAATTACCTCTGTTCCCTGGGGCCGTTCCTTGAATACTTACTTGGCGGCAATTTTTGCTTTGGAGAGATAGAATGATCGCTATAAACGTGAAAAAACTGGCAGTTATCCACTCATCTATCTACCCATGCAGCCATAGATCTGTCCATCCTCATCGCCCCATCTTTCTGTTATCTGTAATCTATCCATCTACTTGCTTGTGTGTATCCAGGTATACCCCTTCCCTCCCTCCACCCATTCATGTATCCACCCATCCATGTATCCATCCATTCACTCATTCTTTCCATCCACCCATCCCTCCATCCACCCATCCATCCATTTGCTCATTCTTTCCATCCACCCATCCCTCTATGCACCCATCCATCCACCCATCCATCCATACACTCATCCCTCCATCCATGTATACTTCCATTCACTCATCATTCTTTCCATCCACTGACCCATTCATCCTTCCTTCCTTCCTTCCTCCCTCCCTCACTCCCTCCCTTCCTCCCTCCCTCCCTTCCTCCCTTCTTTCCTTTTGTTCTTCCTTTCATCCATGTATACATTCATCCATCTATTCATGTGTTCACCTGGTAGACCCTCGTTGATGCCCTGATGTACTACTCTGTGTGTGAAGGCTTGGGAGTTCAGCACTTCTGCCTCCTGCCTTGACCTGCGTGTAGCGAGTGGGCCAGAAGGGGTCCTTCCTGCTTACTGAATGTTTGTGGGGGCATCTCTCATTGCCCCAGTGCAGATGCCATATTTGGGATTTGGGGTGGGTTAGATTGGACAGCACGTTCTGAAACTCTCAAATGCAGCTTCCTCACGAGTGGACGAGTTTATGACCCCTGAGGAAAGGGGGCCCTGGGTGCCACAGCTGTCTTTCATCTGGTCTCGCCCCTTCTGCCCAGCTGACCATGGGCTCCCCAGCTGTGGTGCTTTCTCCTCACCCGGCTGCCCCCTGGGTTGTGCTAACTGTTGGAGTGTCAACTGTAACATCCTCAACTCAAGCCAGAAGCAGGAGGATGTGGGCAACAAAGGGCTGTCCCTCTGAGTGGGGCCGGTCCCGGAGGCCCTGCCTGCCCTCGGCTGCAGGGCGTGCCGTGTCCGCTAGTACGAACATGGAGGTGCCAGCGACGGTCACACTTGGCTCGCTTGCTGCGAACGTTGCCACCTTCCTGCAGGTAGAGAATCTCGGTGTCCAGTGAGGGTGGACCAGGGTGGGCTCGCTGGGCTTCATGCCCAACAGGACAATCAGGAGGCGTAAGAAGGACCAGGCCAGGCCCCTCCCCAGCCCTCGTGACACGCCGAGGTGGGCTGGGGCCTGTGAATCTGCATTTTTAGCCAACTCCCTGGCGGTGTGGGCAGCATGTTTTGAGCAACACTGACAGCCTGCCCACAGGAGGTAGTTTTTATTAAGAATTCTGGATGCAGGTGTTTCCGTCCTAGGCCGGAAGTTATTCCGGGTGGTGATGGAGTTGCCACATTGAACTTGGCAAGGAGGGAGCATGTCGCCCAGGCATCCAACAGTTTCTAATCTCAGTAACTCAAGCGTCCAAGTCAGCACTAGTGACCGTCTTAGAAGGATGTGACTGCCAGGCCGGGGAGGGCAGCTTTCCTCTTGTCTCACAGATCAGAAAGTGTGAGTTTGTGAGTGGACACATCTGTGAAGCGGCTGGAATCGGCCACTGCTCAGTGTTGGCTTACAGCAACTGGAAGCAGACTTCTTAATCACTCAGTGATCGCCGGGGCCATCAGGCCTTGGGAGACAACAAGGAATTGTTCAGAATACTCAGGGTCCGTGCTGTGCTGCAGCGGGCTCTACCACCAGCCATGGTGTGGGCAGCCAGGTGGGTGTCAGCTCCTGGCCACTCCTGGTCCAGCTCCCTGCTAATGCATCGGAAGTACTCCGGCCCCTGCACCCACGTGGGAGCTCCGATGGCTCTAGGCTGCTGGCCGGAGCCTGGCCCAGCTCTGAGTCTGGAATGAACCAACAGATAGAAGATTCATTCTCTCCCTCTCTGTTCCTTCCAAATAAATAAATAAATAGTTTGAAAAGTCAATGCACATATCACAGAGGACTTATTAAAGCTCCGCTTCCCTCCCCTCTTCAGGCTGTCTTCCTGTGAGGATGAGATGGGGGAGGTTTGAAACATTAGCCCACTTCACAGCCTCCAGCTCTGAGCTGCCAGCTGTGCCACATTGTGAACGTGTCTGAGGTGCTGGGGCGGGTGGTGCAGTTGGAGACTGGGACACACAGTGGGGCTTTAGGCTGAGCAGAAACCAAGTTGAGTCCTCGATGGGGTGAGTGAGACGGACGAAGGGCTGGGCAGGTGCTTGCTGCAGCGCCTGGTTCCTGGGCTCCCCAGGGTGGGACTGAGCCATGTGGTCCACAGCCCTGCCGTGAGGTCCACACCCCTGCCGTGCGGTCCACAACCCTGCCATGCGGTCCACAGCCCTGCCATGCGATCCACAGCTCTGCCGTGTGGTCCACACCCCTGCCATGCGGTCCACAGTCCTGCCATGCGGTCCACAGCCCTGCTGTGTGGT